GCACGCACAAGCAGAGCAAAGCAGCGAATTAATTCACTGCTTCCCATCGGCAGGCAGGTGTTCAGCCATCTCCAGGAAAGCAGGGCTCCATCACGCGTAACGGTTACTTGGGAAGACAGATGCCATAACTCTGAACGTCCCCCCACCCCTTCCTTCTTCTTCGTCCCAGCTTTATATACTGAGCATGACGCCATATGGTAGGGAATATCTCTTTGGCCAGCCTGGGTCAGCTGTCCTGACTGTGTCCCCTCCCAGCTTCCTGTGCACTCCCAGCCTTCTTGCTAGTAGGTCAACATGAGAAGCTGGACTGTCCTTGACTACTTAGCAACAGCTCAAAACATCAGCACGTTATCAACATTTTCTCATCCCAAATCCAAAACATAGCCTCACACTAGCTTCTGTGAAGAAAATTAACTCTATCCCAGCTGAAACCAGGACAACAGGAAATATATCAACATTGGATAAAATGGGAGGCTTAAATGTTGTATAATAAAATAATGCTAATTTAACTCCCCCACACAGGCGGTTTTAGAACTCTCCTCAAGAACTACATTTTATGAGCAAGGAAATCCTTTCATGCACCAAAACCCCCCAATTCTGACACCAGTTAAGTAAGAAATAAACATAAATAGCAATAAACCACTGTTATGCTCTACCTTCAAAAGGTACAGTGGTTGCAGTATATTAATTCAAATAATATTTTTAAAATAGTAATTAAATGGTAACAAGATACCAGTGCTCACAAATTCTTATTCACAGAAAGTGAAGGCTGGGCACTCTACCTCTGTACTTTAACTACAATTAGACTCAATGCGAAGGAAGATGAGACAAAAAAGTAGTTGCTTTGCCTTAACTAAAGATGTTTTTTCCTGGTTATTTTCTATCCCCAATTCATATAGAAAGCATGGGACCAACCACACTCATGAGAACAGACTCAGAACAAGCTGATACAGTGCAATGTTTCTGCCAACAAACCCAATTCTTAGCTGTAACAGTGTCATGGTTTGTTCAAGGTTTTTCTTCAACAGACACAATTCTATACACTTTTCTAGTATTATACGTATGCATGTGTGAATGAGGGACTAAAAGACAACTGTCAGAGAAAACACTTGCTTTACTTATGAAAATACAACATAGGTCTCCAAAAATGAACAGTTACCATAATAAGGCCCAGATGGTGGGACAAAGAGTGGGCAAACTGAACAGCCACCTATCAAGTTGAGAGTTTTTTCCCTGTGGATTTCGGGCTCTATAGATCCCAGAGGCAATAAAAATCTGTCATGCTACAAACATCCTTTCTCTGAGGAACTCTCCTGTGTTTTCTGGCCCAGAGCTCCTCTTCCACAAGTTTTACCAATAATGATGCAATAAGGATTTTGGCTGCTTCACAAACTATGATACAGCACATAGAGCTATATCCTCTAAGGTAGATATCATATCATCTCCCCCCCTATGGTCCCCACACAGTCATATCTGAACCAGGTGAGAACTGAATTGGAACATGTCTTCCAACCTTTCCAAGCTCTGCGATGATGCTTTAACATGATATGGGCACTGACCTAGAGTCCAATCTACATTATATAATGGAATCAACATTGAGAATTCTGTTGCCACTTGAGTTTCCTCTGCTGGTTTAATGTATAAAGCAATTGGACTGTAATTCTTCTCAGTAACAGAACTAGAAAAACAATTCATATAAAAAAGATCTTTAAATAATAGCAACCTAGAGGAAAAAAAAAATTGACAGGGAGAAGCATAGGCTCATACTCTTTCCAACAT